ATCAGAGAAGAGAAAGAATACAAAAGGAGGGATTTCAGACCAGCAAAGGGTCCCCAAGTGTGGAACCTGAGGCCATCATGGACAGAGGGCACGCCACCAGCCTGTCTTACCCACCCCACTGGCATGGGGTGAGCCTTAGCCATCAACCTCCAAACTGCTGACATCTGACATTCAAGAAGGAACCTCAGGGTGAAGCCCACATACTGGCCAGACGTACCATCCCTCTGTGAACCCTAGCACTGGTAGATATAGAATCAGTTGGGAGGGGTTATTTTGTTTGCCTTACCTGTGTTATTCATAGTTTCATAGATTCTAGGGTAGGAAGGGACCTGAGCAGATCATCTAGTCCGACCCGTGCCATGGCAGGAAAGAGTACTGGGGTCAAACGACCCCAGCAAGATGGTCATCCAACCTCCTCTTAAAACCCCCCAGGGTGGGAGCCTGCACCACCTCACTTGGAAGCTGGTTCCAGACCCTAGCCGCCCTGACCGATAGCAGATTCATATCTGCTATCACTGTTTATCTATAACATTTGCCTATTATCAAAATGGAAGATGTCATGGTTGATCTGAGGGTATCTGGGTCATAAATCCAGTGCCAGCAGCAGGTAAGTTCTCTAAACTCTGTTAAGAAATTTTCCACTGAAGTTTTGTGGTTCCAAGTCAGTGATTTTCAACGAGTGTGCTATAGGACTCTGGGGTGCCTTGAGACCCTTTCAAGGGTGGTGCAGGGTGCCATGCAGTGTTAGCACTTTTAAGTGTGCAAACATGATTCACAAGCTAAACCCAGAGAATTTCAAATGGGAATTCATAGGATTAAAACCATTCTGACCTGTTGTGGTCTTTCGGAGTTCTTTGCACCAGCAGAATTGGTGTATTATTTTTCTGTAGTCAGAAAATGAATGAAAATTAAGAACTAACATTTTGCAACGGCTGCCTTGAGTCTAACAAGGGCTGCCTTCAGTCTACAAAGTTGGAAAACTGCTGTTCTAAGTGAGATTCTGCTGTAAACAACTCATTTTGCTTCCAATTACTGGCTTGACCACAAGCTGAAGAAATCGGTTCTGTCCCTTGTAACAACTATACTGCTGCTGTTATTTCTGTTTATTATACGTCAAAAGGAGATGGTATCTTCACAGTGAAGGAACAGGACAATGTGTTTTTAAGGTTGTTTGTTTGCTTTGTGTGAGTTGGAGGGGGGAGGAGCCTCCTGGTCTAAATGTGCCATAGACACATAAGGTAATATATATCGATGGCAAAACCCATATCCACTTTGTCTGCAATTTCCATGAAACAGATATGGAGAGTAATTTAGATTAGTTTTTGCCAATGGCAGCTGCTGTATACAACTGCTGCATGATATTTCATTTCTGGAGCTATCAGCTGGTTCTTTCAAAGCTTGCCTATTCTTTTTGTTTGCACTGGCTAGCAAATTAATTGCTGTTACCGCAAATGTCTGTACTCTGGCTGGGTGCTGGACAGTGTGTCTGTGCACATTCACTTCTACAGTTCTGAAACAGCTACCTGCAGGCTTTGTGCCATAACTCTTTTGGATTCCCTTCCCCATGCATTTTCTACTTGCAGACAGCCTTTTAGGCCTGCTGTGTGATATCCTCATAAACGCTGTCTTCTTTGTGAAGCTTGCAGCTGCGGTTTTACTTGCTCCATCACTTTGTAGATTGACATGGCTGTTTTCAGAGTTAGCTGAGCAAACCCCGTTTCCCTAGAGCTCACCTCCCACATTTGGAGAGCAGGATATGCCAAGGAGACTACCATTGCACCAGTGGCTCCTGAGCTTCAAGTCCATAGTATGGTTCTCAGTTTCTTTATTTTCTTTCTCAAGCAGAAGTCTTTTGTCACTTTTCTTCTTCAGAAATACAGAACATTTTTCTAGCTGGGCTAAGAGTCTATCATAATTGGCACTGCCCATAAGAAAGAACTGAAAACAGTAACAAATGCCCAGGGTCTCTCTCAGTTAACAGTACAGCCATGTTCCTCTCATACAGAACAAAAACTTATATTTAAAGAGTTTCCAAAACTCCACCACTGTTTACACTTGCATTCAACAGCTAGGTTATCTCCTTATTGCTTCACGTCAATCAAAGCAGGGCCTGTCCTTAGATACAGCCTGAAGCTAAGTGCTGTATCTACGGTGCATAAAGTGCACTGAACAGATGAGAAATCCTTCTAGATGATCACCTCATGACCATTACTGGAATTCTCCTCAGGTTTACACTTCATTTAGTCCAAACAAATAATTTAAAGGGTATATCTGTATAGCAGGGGTGGGCAAAATGTGGCCTGCAGGCCATTCTATCCAGCCTGTGGGGCCCCTAAAAATTTTAGAAAATAAATATTTATCTGCCCTGGGCTGCCTGTCATGTGCCCCTCGATGGCTTGCCAAAACTCAGTAAGTGCCCCTCCACCCAAAATAATTGCCTGCCCCTGCTGTATAGCAATGGGCCATACTATAAAAGCACAATCTGCCCAGTTATGACACATGCCAAATGCATGTCATGTAGATGTTGTAAAACTGGTCCTAAGTGTGTCCTGAGAAGACTCCAAAAGGTGACTACATCGTATTTTTTCAGTGTTCAGCACATGAGGAATAGAACTGCGTGGGCAAGGAGTGGTTTCATGGCAGTGTCCCATAGCATGGTCTGTAATAGGATAGAGATGCCCAGAGAGACTGAGAAATGGACAGATACCACTGACCAGCTGCTAAGGGCAGGAGTGTCAAACATAGGGCCCTTGGGCTGGATAAAGCCCATGTAGCAGTATGATCTGGCCTGTGGGTCTGGTGTATGGGTGAGACTTATTGCCAGGGGTGCCGCATGGGGTCCAGGAGCCCGGCACAGTGTGTGCACTCTATGCAGTGCTGTTTAGACTGGCCCAGTGTACTGGTTTGGGGACTGGTGAAGATTGCACTGTGCTGGTGCCAGCATACAGGGCCTGTTCA